TTCTCTAGCTCATTTATCGTACTGTTATTTGGACCGAAGATCAGAATGTCATCAACGTAAATTGCGAGAAAGATTTGTTTTTCGAAATTTGTGAAGATGCATGGGTCGAAATTAGTTGAAGCAAATCCACCTTTATTTAGGACGCTTGATAATGTATCGTACCATACAAGAGGGGATTGCTTTAACCCGTAGATTGACTTTCGTAGAAGATAACATTTACCAGATTCCTTAAACCCTTCAGGAATTTCCATGTATATCTCCCGATCTAGTTTTCCGTACAAGAAGGCAGATTTTACATCAAGTTGCCTTGGTTTCCATCTTTCATGGGATGCTAAGGCAAGTAAAAGGCGCAATGAATCGTATCGAGCGACAGGAGCATATGTGTCATCGAAATCTGTACCAGGTTGCTGAGAGAACCCTTTAGCGACGAGACGAGCTTTGTAACGTTCGATGGAACCATCGGCTTTGTGCTTGATTTTAAACACCCATTTAGATCCTACCACATTACGATCGTTGGGTCGAGGCACGACTGTCCAGGTATCGTTTCTGTTGAGTGCATCCATTTCTTCTTCAATGGCTCTCCTCCACAATTCATTATCGTCCGATTTCATAGCCTGCTTATATGTCGTTGGCTCAAACATAACCGCATTTGCTTGATGCCTTTGAGTATTGGGTACCATACCCGGGCCAGGATCAGTTTGACGCTTTTCTCTAGTGCTTCTGCGAGGTAAGTCGTTATGAGATTTGTCACTATTAAATGATTCTTCTGTTTGCAAGTTAATTGATGGAATAGGAGGCACACCTAATAGTATGAAGTTCTCATGTGGCTTTTTCGGAGCGTTAGGAGTGGTCGAATTTATCGCGGCTGGGAATGGAGTGGAAGGCAGCGGTTGTGGTTGTGGTTGAGCTCGAGGAGTCTGAATGAAATTTCCAGGCATAATTTTTGAAGTCGGTGATGAAGGGCGAGTATGAATTGGACTTGAAGCAGGTGTTGCTTCAGCATTGAAAGAAGGAATGTTTGATGGTAACATTGGTTGTGAAAATTCGACGGTAACTTCCCCTGGCTTTGAGGCCAAGAATTTCACTTGTCGAGTGATTTGAACAACTCTTTTACTTGGTACGTAAATTCGGAATATATTAGACGAGTTTGTGTAACCTACGAATATACCTTCTAGCGCTCTTGGGTGGAGCTTAGAACCGCTCGGTCTGGTTTCAGCTGGTATGTGAATGTAGACTTTTGTACCAAAGGCGTGAAGGTGTGTTATTGATGGAGGTAAAGCCCCATTTAATAACTCGAACGGTGACTTAAAGTCAATTGTCCGGTGAGGCGTTCGGTTATATAAATATACCGAGGTGGCAATTGCCTCTGCCCAGAGAAATTTTGGATGATTGAGAATCATTGCTCTGGCTTTGGTGACAATTGTTCGATTGAATCTTTCGGCCGTACCACTAGATTCGTGTTCGTATGGAGGCGAATTTTCATGATTGATACCATTGTCTGTAAAGAATTTCTGTACTCTTGTATCAATATATTCTCCTCCATTATCTGAAAAGAATGTTTTGATAGTAAGATTGTGTTGGTTTTGTATTCTTATTACAAAGTCACTGATTGCTTGGTGTGCTTGGTTTTTATCACGAAGAAATGATATCCAAGCGTATCTTGAGTAGTCGTCAATGAATGTAATGTAATACCTTTTTCTCCGAGTTAACTAGCGGGATCATTTCTATCTGTATATATCTTTTAATATGTATATTGAACTTTTCGACATTCTCTTTTTCACCTCGGACTGGTGGTGATTCTTTCTTATCTCCGTCGCAAACTACTGACCATAGCTTTGCCCTTCGGAGAGAAATATGCCCAGCCTTATACCATGTTACATAGTTTGAATGTCGAATACGCATGGGTAAGGTGGCGTTTTTCTTTCCGATACAGACAGTAGCGTATGTTGACATTGTGTAGCTTTTCTGTCGACGGAAGATTGTGCAAACCCGGGCTCATGCCCTTTTAATTGAAATTAGTTCCGGAGATTGGAAGAATTACACACTAGCCTCGAGTTTGATTAAGAGATACGATAAATGTGTTTACTATACGAAGAAGTTTACTGATGTTTAATGGATAGTTAATTGTGATTAAATTGCTATAATTCTATATGTGTGGCAAGAAGTCCCTCTATATACATGAAAGCGGGGTTTTCCGCACACTAGTGTGAACTCCAACATACTTCCTAATCTAACCTAAACGGGAAGGTTGTTGGAGATCCTGAAGCCAATGTATGCTGTCAGGCATCTATTGGCTAACTACTATTCATGCCAGTGAGTGATAATATGGGTTAATCATATCTTATGGCGCCAGTGCATATTATTCTAATATGTACTATTTGTCTACTGCAGTCATGTTGCTGCCTTAATTACAACACTTTTTGACCGGGACTCCGCCCCTCGCGCGGGCTTCCGCCTCTCTGATGAGTCTGATCTGGCTACCATTCACAAGCCTCGTCGAAATATCGAACAGTGTAAACGCTGTTTGGGCTTCCACGCCACCCGTGGTTGCTCCCGCGCTCCAGCCTGCTGGAACTGCGGATCAAACATGCACTCGGAAGCCGAGTGCAAGGCCCTCACTAAGTGTCGTAACTGTGGGGGACCGGTGACAAAAGAGCAGCTCGCGTGGATCCGCCACATCGAACAAGGGGAGTTCACGAAGGTGGCACGAGCTCGAGAAGCAGCCAAAAGGGCCAAGGAGGCGATCATTGCCGCTGCGAAGGACGTCTCCATGGCCGAGGCTACAGGTTTCGGAGCTCTGGAAGCTGAAGAAGAAGTTTGAGGACACAGCAACCTCGACAATGTCCCCATTGGGGCATCTACTAACCAATAGCAGGATACCGGCTGGATCAAAGGTGCCTGCTAACTCATCTCTTGCTCTCAGCGGAGATTGAGTAAATTTGTCATTTGGAAGGTGTGACAGACGACAGAGTGTGTGAGGAGCACATTGCTTGGGTCCAATGTGGAGGAATCTTCTGATTTTCGGAGTTGTTTTGATTTTCTTGATTTTTCGTTTCAGTTTAATAAGCTGCACTTTTGGTAGCAATTCACGAGGTCGGAACGAGCTAGGCTGTAGGAAAGATTACAGGAAACCCTGCCGGATCCGCCGGTCCTTGACCCAATGTGGATAAAGAGCGTTAGCTGAGGACCAAAAGTAAAAAAAAAAGTCCCTTAAACTTAACATCACTTTCAATTCATCCTCTATTCTAGCAAAAAGCGTCTCTCCAAAAGTCTGCTTCAGAAACTAAAGTTTGTTGACATCTAACTCGCGATCGATGTATTGAAATAAGAGCATTAAGAAGACTTGGCTTGACACTACAATATATATCCAACAAACTTGGCTTCTCAAGAAGGCAAGTGCAACTTGCGTGTGCTCGAGAGACTGAGAATCCCATTCCTCATAAAGGATGCTCACCTAAATTACGCGTGGAACAAGTTGATGAGCTTGAGGCTTTCGTCCGGGAATCTCCTGAAAATCGATAGATGTGCTCTTCGGAACTAGCAATGGGACCCTTCAGCCACCAGGGATGCAATGAGCATTAACTTTCAAATGCCCTGATAAAATGGGTTACAGCAGATGCATTGCTCGGAAGAAGCCTCCGTTAAGTGTGGTTAACATGCACAAAAGATGTATAGCAGTGATAAATGAAAATAGAGGGTACACAAAGTATTAGGATGGAGCAGAATGATACAAAACATGAAGTACGCTTTCATTTTAGTTGCAAGCCATACTGAGGGCTTCGATGTATACTTTTGTAATACAGAGAAATTATTTTTGAAATAGATCTGTATTTTTAGATAATATCAATTGATTTTTTTTAATTTTAATTTTTAATGAGGACTATTGTACATTTCCTTTGGTATTGAAGACCTCCCCATTAATTTTGACTTTCACGGAATATTGTTGGATAGTACCCCTGCTAGCATAACTAGTCGAAAAACTAGACATGGGCCTGCATGAAGACCATACCAATTAAGACAATATGTACAGGGATCTAACCCCAGTCATTTTGACAATTGTTCTTTTGATACCCATAAGAGACTGTATTTATAATTGTTGCAGCCATTAACAAAATGGCAATTTGTTGGGAATAAGATAAAGGCATGTGATTATAATGGGGTGGATGACATGAGAATTGTTTGTTTGTTTGTTTGCATTTAACGCCAAGTAGGCACACAGGTATGACCCGGCCCTATGCCCAAGAATGGGCGTTTGGCGTGTCCACATAGCCTATTACTATCGGACAATTCTATCGTCTAAAAAAACTACTGTATCCTCCCTTTTTTCGCAATTAATGCTCGATATTAATGCAAGGTAGAGCTCTAGGCCACTCTATTTGTGTAAATTCCTCAATGACATGAGAATTGTAAACTAAGCAATAGCGAGTAAGGGTTTGTGGAGGCACATGTACACTCAGTATATCTCTGGGCAATAGCTGTCACCTAGAAATCTTCTGATAGATAGATACAAAAACGCATTCTACTGATTGCCTTTACCTTCGAATTCGAATCCAAGAACCTGCTAGTTTTAACCAACACTAATTAGTGGTGAACCAACTACTTGGCTCACTGCAAATAGCAAGGCTTACCTATTAGAAGAGAGTTGTTTGTAGAGTCGTCCTTACCGCAAAGTCAGGACTGCAATCCAACTGCTGCAGCAGAGCAATTGATCACGATCAAGTCGAATAAGTTGAAGTCAACATCAAGAGTTCTGTACCGTCTTTGTACGAGGCATAGGCCGAATTGGCCGAGTCAACTACATTTGCACGGCGCGCTCCCATCGCGTTGTCCTAAAACTCTATTGATTATTGAAACTTTCAATCACCAAGCGATATCCCTTCTATTTAATACTTTGCATCGTTCGAAAATTACCGTCATTTAAGTGGTGCAATCAAGTTGCATCGCATCTTTTACTCTCTCTCTCTTTCTTTAAATCATCAGTTCAATTGTACGCAATCACCATGGCATCGAGCTCAAGAGCCGGCGGCAAAGCACCCTCGCGCTATCTAGAAGATGATGACGCTGCTGCAAAAGAATACATTGCGTGGATCTGGGAAACCACTGGGGTTCATCCTAGCCGCCGCAGGCACATTGATCAAGACCAATTCGACAACCCCCTTGCTCCCGAGCCCACCGTCGCGCAGCGAGCTACATTTCTTCTTGGTCGAGTTGCCAACTACATGGCATACTTCTCTGGCACTTCATAATCTATTTGGAGTGAATTTCGTCTGGACTTTGATGGATGGTTGGAAGAGGACTTTACACCGTTGGCTAGTCCTACACTACGTTCCATCACCTGGTCTAAACTAAAAGATGTTCTCGTACGTCATGGCGTTTATTGTGGTATCCGAAACGCAAAATACGCAGCTGTTTTTGCAAATATGGTCAAATGTGATCAGCTTCCCCTATGGCCTATCACTAAACTTAGCCATAGTTGGCAATATTTCACAGATAACGCACAAGATGAGCTTCATGCTCAATACCCGACAGTCAAGTCTGAAATCCTTGAAACTCCACACATCAACACACTTCGTTCCGCCGAACCTCCCAAATCTACTTTCCCCAACACTAGAGCGCCCTTAAAGAATAATGGCGACACTGCAATCTAAATCCATCATGAAGACGCCGATGATATTTTACGAACCCCTATTAACACACGTACCGCCCCAATCCCACAAGGGGGACCTCAGTATCCCCCATGTTCACCACGTATCCAAAGGCCATCGCATTATCTCAGTGTTGCTCCGTCGTTTGTTGATCAAGTTCCTTTTGCTAGTCACCTACTAGACCCGCTTAACCCTAACCACTTGGTCATTCCAAAGGATAATAATTAGCCACTGGATTCTCGAAAGATTGAGACATTTAGCAAAATCTGGAATAAGGAATACAACTTCACAGGCGCAGCTTACAACATTTTAGACAACACTGTGCGCCAGTTTCAACTCACTTGTTCCCAAATTGATATAGCTCCATCGCAGCTACATGCTATATTTCGAATGACGTTATCAGGTGCGGCGCAGAAATGGTCGTTGTATTCCCTTAGCAATTCTGCTAAGTTTTGCAATATGTATCTGATATAGAAAAATCATTTTGATACCAGCATAAATCACTCTTGCTACCACAATGACTGGACTTCGATCACTTTTCAGTCAGCTAGGAATGACAAAGAATGTTTGCAGAAAGATCTCCCTGGTGTCTTGGACTTCTTGCTCAATCGTTTGGAACTTTGTCAACAGGCTCTAGGTAGCTCGTATTTCGGTGAACAGCAGCTGATAGCTGCAAAACTACGTGCAGTGCAAGGCGTGGCTGAACTAAAGCCTGCAACATTTAAGCCCACAATGAGATATTAGCAATTATGTAATGATCTACAGAATGCATTGTTCCAGGCAATGCAACCCTCTGTAAGCCACTTTGTTGTTGATCAGACCAATGACGCACCAGATATTAATTATAACAATCGAAAGTATAATTCCAATCGCCTTCCTCATGGTCAGAATAGAAACAACGGTCGTCGATTTGGCGATAATGATTACAAGCAAAGCTATAACAGTAATCGTCACCAGCACAGTAACGACGATAAATGCTACATTTGTGGTAAGCAAGGTCACTTTGCCCGCGATCATCCTCAACACGAGCAGGCTGAACATCGCCGCAAATATAATGATGCCCACCGCTTCAGCCGAACAAGGAAGCCCTACCGGCAATTTTTGCTGGATTTTGAAGGATTACCCGTGGAAAATTCAGATATTGTAGCTCATAATACTGCTGTCTGTCACGGTTTCGAGGGACAAGTGCTGGGGCAACTATGTGGTCGATGGTAGTAAATAATAATTCTAAGGAGAGAACTTCCACTACATCTATCTATTCATTTATATACGTGAAAGCCTCCTCGCCACCAAGGCTAATCCCTCTCCTGTTCCTATGCTATGGGACTCCCCTAGTGTTCTGACTATGCCTGTAATACAGCACTATTGCGTTATGGTCCGGAAGGATTGTACTCGGTCTCGTATATTCCCAGTCAGTGTAAGCCTATCAACATGTGGTGCAGTGCCGTACTGCCGTGCAGCACTGCCGAGTCCGATGCCATGTGAATACCATGCAAATGCCAACGCAAAAGTAATGTATTGGGTGGCGTTGCATATTAGCGCATTGGTAGCCATTAATAACGCCACTCGAATCAGGCCTAAGTTAACCAACATAGGCTACAGGGACCAATCGGCTTACCAGCTGTTACACTGTCGACGATTTCAGTGAAGATGAGAACAGCGAAAACGACTTGTTTATTTGTGCCACTTCTTTTCTCATCGACGAATCTGCGCGCTACCGTCTCACAAACTACATACCGCCATTACTTGAGTCCAATTCACCTGTTGCTGCCAAACAATTTGTTCTTGATTAATACTCTAACAAACGCTTTCAGGGAATAATGCCTGATACCGGCGCCGCACAGACATCAACAGCGGAATTTCCTCAGTTTCAGGTTTTGCAGCTAGAGTATCCCGAACTACAACTGAACAAGGAAGATAACAAGGTAAAGGTACGTTTCGGTAATGGTGATGTAATTTCATCACTCGGGTCTGTCGAGACTGTAACACCAATTGGTACCGTAAAGTTCTACGTCATGCACACCTCACCACCATTCCTGCTTAGCCTTAAGGACATGGACCGTCTTAACACTCATCTCGACAATACGCGCAATCTCCTCGTCCAGCGTAGCCCAAGCTATAAAGAGATCCCCATCGTGCGAAAATGGGGCCATCCATGGTTTATGATCTCAGATCTTGAACATGCGTCATTATTCCTGACCGACCCTTAGCTACAACGCCTTCATCGACAATTTGGTCACCCAACAGTGCAATTAATATGCAATGTTCTTACCCACGCCAGTGAGGAAGCTAATTCTGAAGCCCTCGAAATGATTGCCAAGTTTTGCCACCACTGTCAGATGAAGGGTGCTACACCCCGTCGATTTCGATTCACTCTACGCAATGACACTACATTCAACCATGTAATTATTGTTGATACTCTTGTTTGGACGGCAAAGCAGTATTACATACCGTTGACACTGCAACTGCTTTTCAATCTGGCCGTTTCCTGAAGAACATGACTGCCAAAGAAGTATGGGAACGCCTCCGAGAATGTTGAATTGACACATACCTTGGTCCTCCTGACATTCTTGCCACCGATGCAGGCACACATTTCAGTGCAGAGTAATTTCGTGCTGAGGCACGGCTCATGGGTATCACTGTCGTCGAAGTTCCCACCGAAGCACATCATTCAATTGGTAAGGTCGAGCGATATCATGGGCCCTTGCGCACGGTCTATTGTATCATCTGCGCCGAAATGGGCTCAGCCATTTCCCCAGAAGCCACATTGCGGATGTCCTTTAAATGTATAAATGATAGTGTTGGTCCGAATGGTCTGGTCTCAACTCTTCTTGTGTTTGGTGATATGCCACGTCTAAAAATGGATTCCCCTCCGTCCGCACTAACGATGCAGCGGGCCGAAGCAGGAATTAAAGCGATGAAGGAGCTAATTAAGATCAACGCCAAGCACCTGGTCGATCGTGCACTCAATACTCGCAACGTGCAGGACACATCTGACATGCAAACACTTTCTATCCCAATTGGCAGCGAAGTTATTGTCTACTGTGGCGCTAAAAGGGGATGGGTTGGCCCCTACACCATGTTAAGCACAGATGGAATCAATGTCACTGTACAGCGAGGCACCAATGGCTCTGAATTTCGCGTCAATTTCGTCAAGCCATACAAACGCCTTGACCCAGCTATCGCCATTTCATCTGGTTTAGAGCCATTTGAATACCCGCCAGTGGAACTTCCTCGCCCGCGTGGCCGACCCGCTAACATTCCAACTCCTCCTACTATTCCAAATGATGTTGTGGCTATACATCACGAAAAATAGTCAACAGCCCGGCCAATCAATATTTCCTTAAGAAATGCAACTGGCCGCACACGCAAAGTTACGTTAAATGATAAGCAACACTCCAAGGAACCCAAATTGCAGTCCGATCAACCAATTGCTAGGCGTCTTTGTCCGCGCAGTCGTATCCAACAACCCAAATGTGACAGTGATTCTGATAATGATACTACTCCTGATAACGACTTGTTCACCATATCTATGGTTGATGCAATTGAAATTAGTTCCGGAGATTGGAAGAATTACACACTAGCCTCAAGTTTGATTAAGAGATACGATAAATGTGTTTACTATACGAAGAATTTTACTGATGTTTAATGGATAGTTAATTGTGATTAAATTGCTATAATTCTATATGTGTGGCGAGAAGTCCCTCTATATACATGAAAGCGGGGTTTTCCGCACACTAGTGTAAATTCCAACATACTCCCTAATCTAACCTAAACGGGAAGGTTGTTGGAGATCCTGAAGCCAATGTATACTGTTAGGCATCTATTGGCTAATTACTATTCATGCCAGTGAGTGATGATATGGGTTAATCATATCTCATGGCGCCAGTGCATATTATTCTAATAAGTACTATTTGTTTACTGCAGTCATGTTGCTGCCTTAATTACAACAGACGCTACTTCATTCAAGCAGCTCTTCATAACCCACAAAGAGCATAGCAATAGAGCACTTGCGATCCGTCTCCGTGCGGATGGCAAGATCAAAACTGCTGGGGCTCCATTCGAGCTCAGTGATATTGCTGAGATTGATGGCCTCCTAGCCCGCGGTGTTTTAGCACCTACTCCCATCAATAAAATCCCAAATGGTTGCCGAATTTTTTGGTTACATATGGTGCGCAAAATCAAGGATAAGACAACTCCACATCTGTATGAAAAATCTCGTCTTGCTGTGCAGGGATACAACGATCATGAGAAAAGCTTTGTCCTAGCCCAGTCTCCGACCATTCAGCGTTGCAGCCAAAGACTGATTCTTGCCGTTACTCCAACCCTACTTAAGATAGGCATACTTTTCGCCATTCGTGATATCACACAGGCGTACACTCAGTCCAAGACGCCTCTTGCCCGTGATATCTTTGCCCACTTTCCGTCTGAGCTAAAAGAAAAGCACCCCGAAGGCACTATATTCCGCGTCGTCTAGCCTCTATACGGTATCCCCGAGTCTGGGGCCCACTGGTTTATTACCTATCAGAACCATCACAAGGAAAACCTGCACATGACTACTTCGTTATTTGATCCTTGCCTACTAGTCACCAATACCGGTA